GTTGAAAATGTACGCTAAAGGTCCTGGTGTGTGAGGAGCTCCGCGGATTTGTCCATTTTGGTTCCGGGAACCGCATGACGTCATACGGTTCCCGGAAGAAACAAATGGAAAAAGAGAAATCTCCAACGAGGCGTTCTGGGGCAGCATAGACAGGTCTTTTCTGTGTTAGAGGTTTACTCGTTACAGGGTGTACTTTGAGGGTTTGTGACTCTGCAGACCGTTCACATGCAGAAAAACCTTCATAACACAAGGGGACGGGTAATAACCAGAAAAGCATGACATGGGACCTTTAAAAGTAGACAATACAGCAACACAGAACCTGCATTTGTAAAAAAAAATATATATATAATATTCTTCCTTAAATATGTTCAGGACTTTATTCGAATGATATTTGAACATGCCGTATCACCACCTTTCCTCTGACTTTGGCTCTGATCCTCTTACTAACCATAAAGGTACATTAAACAACAGGGAGTCTGCAAGGCAGGCTGCTCTTAAGCCTTTTAAAGCTTTATATAGCCTACAATCAAAGGGGTTTAAAAAACAGCTTTGATGAATACAATGAGCTTACTATGATCTGCTTTGAGTTTGGTCAGAAGTCAAGTGAAATAGTATAAAGGATGCATTAGTATCTAATATATAAAAGACTGTAGGGGTTGGAATGCTAGGAGCCATCCAGCTATGGTAATGTGTCTTTAGTCAGCACTAGCAGTGTTGCTAACTTCTCACTCCTGTAGTGAAGGAGTTTGCAGCTGAATGAGGATCCGGCACTCTGCAGCCAATGAAAATAAATCCCTGAGAGATCTGGGAAGATTGCCTGCTATTTTATAGCTGGCTTAAACTTTCATGCCCTGATCCAGAAGTTATAATCTTCCCCTGTTACGTCTTCTATTCTGCATGACTTGCCTTGTTGACATGAGCCATCCATTTTGTGTTAGATGGCCTATTCTCTAAATGCGACAGTTTTGCTTTCTTGTCAGGCTCTTTTGGTAACAGATGGGGTTTCTCAGCAGCAGTGGGGGAGACAAGAACAGGAGGGGGAGAGTGGCTGTAAATCAGGATTGTAGAGAGAAACGGGTGGTTTTATGAGAGTTTACAGACCTTCTTCACTTTTAATGAGAAAAGACTGCAATTCCCTCCTAGACAAAGAAAAAGGGTGGGCGGGTTAAGAGGTAGAAGATTCATGTAGTAGACGCTAAGAGAGGAATGGGAAGGAAAGAGGAAATGGGCAAGAAAATAAGAAAAAGGAAAGAGGTAAAAGTCAAGTGGGATTAGCAAAGGAACTGGCGAGAAACGTTGAGAGGGAAGGGCAGGAAGGAGGGATGAGAGGCCTATCAAAATGTTGGCAGGTGTCCATTTGGCATATGAATTTAAAAGCAATCTGTCTCGCTCAGTCCGGAGTCTGGTAAAAGTCGATGGTTACACACAGCACACGTACAAAAGAAATAGAGGTGTGTGTGGAGTGTTTTGCAGCTGCTACCTACATTCTTGGTGGAGCAGACCCCCCAACATACCTAACACTTTACCACACATGCAACACATGCAACAGCACACACTCGCTGGGTTGGCCAGTTGGTCCGGGGTCAAAGGTCACTGTCATGCTGCGACACATCCTAGATCCTATTACCAACCCTCCCAATGTGTGTTTTTGTCTGTCTGTGTGTGTTGCTTATAGTGGGTCTGCCTGTCTCTCTGTGTCTGTTCTTGTGTGCATTTAACTGTTTACAAGGGAGTCCATGTGGAAGGTTTAGCCTCATATTTACTATATTACATGAGTGTTTGTGTTTTTCTCAGTGCCAATGCTGCCCTGCCTACAAAGGGGGCCCTGTAATTACGCAGAGACCCCCTTGTCTGCAGCAGAGGGCCGCAGGGAGCCCACTGTCATCCCGTGCAATTTGAGGCCGTATCCAGATGTAGCTGGTTATTGAAAGTTACAGTTTTGGTTCCTGCTGAAATGTAGCTCCACCCAAATGTAGAAACTTTACATTTTGCATCCGTCTGCAGGAAAAGGAAATGTTTTGGCAACTTCAGAGCAGCCTGTAGTTAGCGTTCGGAAAGTAACACGTTTTTGTTGTTTTGGCTCGTCTCCAGCACTCTGGGTATGCAATGAAACGTGAGGTTAAAGTGGCTACTTTTAAGGCCACCTCCACTGCTTTTACACATCAAAGTGTGTTTACGGGGAGTTCTGCTTCATATGTGGAAAAAAGTTGTATAAAGGCTTGGAACTCTGAAGGAATGAAGTCTGATGAATTTGCCTCGGTTGGGGCTGAGGCTCTCCGATTACCTCTTTACTTAATATGAGCGTGAACACCATTCAACTTATCACTTACAGTGACAGTTGTACTAATGTTAGGTTAATAACCTCGATTAGACACACCACATCCAACCTGTTATCCCAGGTCAGCAGCAACATGTCTACGGAAGTGATTCATTAGTTTTAAGTGTCGACACCCTTTTATACAATCACACACACATGTCCCCAGGTATGCAGACTTGTTGCAGCAGGACTCAAGGAACCGAGCGAGCATGCCTTATCATTTAATCCCACAGTGCAACATTTTTATTGCTATTTTCTGAATGACTTTATCCTTGTTTTCTCGCCGTTGTCTTTAGCAGTTTTTATAGTTCTGTTGTTCATTTTCTCCAGTATGTGTTTCGCTGTCGGTTGTGACATTTTATAACATCAGTGATTTTTTAAGACTGAGGAAATGATATCGCTTTTGTAGCCACTCCACAAACCATTAGAGAAAATACATTACCGTACACACATCTGGTTTGAGGTCAGAATTATAGCCTTGCTCTTCAGATGGTTTACTTTTTTTTTTGCCACAGGCTGTGTAACACCTAGTGTTTGTTTCCAGACCAACCAGATGTCTTTGGTCTGTTATGTCAGTAAACAGTTTGGGCTCAGTGAGACTGTTATTGAGGCAGATCAAATGTTCTTCAGTTGGTTACATGGATTTACCTGCACCAGTCAAGAGATTCAGCACGCATAGAACAGAAGTATGCACTATTCATAACTTTGAATAGTTCCATAAACCTGTACAAATATAAAGGCTATGTAAACTTGGAGATTAAGTGGACATTTTTGCAAGTTTGGAAGAATAACCAAATGCATGTGGTTTATTTTGTTCCGTTAAAACTACAGCTTGTAAGAAAAACGACTTTTTGTTCATTTTTGTTAAAGTTTGACTTGGTCCGTACATGGCCTGCGTTTTGTCATCTACTCACATGCTTGTAAAATGTTTTTTTTAATAGTTTCTGAACAGATCATTCAAAATGTACTGCGAGTATAAAGAGTGATCCACAAGGGCTTGTACTGTATTGCTCGCCTTGGAGCTAGACTAATGACATAGCAGCATTATGTCTTATCATTTATTAAATATGACAAACTATGAATTACTTGTTCGGACAGTCAGGAGAGCAACAGCTCACACAAAGCATTACAACTAGATTAGGAATAACATTGCTTTTCTTTGTTGTTTTGCACACCTGTTAAAACTCTTTTGTACTTATGCATTTCATTTCTTATCTTTTTTCATTTGAATAACAAGACAGACCAAATCTACTGTATGTTTATCAAAATATACACTACATAAAGTCCAAATCATGTGGAAAACATTGTGTGAATGTCAGAGACAGCACTGACTGTCCCTGAACGCCTCCAGATGTCAGTTATGTGTGGGCGGGCGGTAATGTTACGTCTGTTTATCGACATTTAAGACAGAAAAAAAGGATGAAATCAGACCAGGACTTAAGGCTATTAGAGGAAAGCAGAGGGAGAAGAAGAGATAAAGCAAGAGGAAGCCTTGCCTGCAAGTAGTGTTGGCTTCAGTCCTCATGCTCGTAGTTGAGCCCTAACATCTGCAGTGAATTAGGCAGAAGGGTAAATCATCAAATGGTGCATTCAAAACCACACACTGATCAGTTTCAGTATCTGGACCAATGACGATGACTGCTATTGCATTTTGAGGATTTGTCTGACTACCATCGGATTTGATCATGCTGCACTCAAATGCCTGAATGTCATTGCTTTACCCCTGCAGCTGAGTGTGAGATTGTAAATCATTATATCTTAAAATGATGGACTTTATTATGTCTTAAATTGAGATTGATTCAGCACTGGTAATTTGGAAGTACAGTATGTCTTTGCAATAGTCAGTGTCGCCTGCTAGTTGAGCTTAGATCCATGTGATGGGATCTCATTTCTTTCAGCTGTTACAATTGTATTCCTCAAAATCTTTCCAGGTGCTTTTCCAGCCCCTCAGCTGTGTGTGTGTGTGTGTGTGTGTGTGTGTGTGTGTGTGTGTGTGTGTGTGTGTGTGGTGTGTGTGTGTGTGTGTGTGTGTGTGTGTGTGTGTGTGTGTGTGTGTGTGTGTGTGTGTGTGTGTGTGTGTGTGTGTGTGTGTGTGTGTGTGTGTGTGGTGTGTGTGTGTGTGTGTGTGGTGGTGGTGTGTGTGTGTGTGTGTGTGTGTGTGTGTGTGTTGTGTGTGTGTGTGTGTGTGTGTGTGTGTGGTGTGTGTGTGTGTGGTGTGTGTGTGTGTGTGTTGTGTGTGTGTGTGTGTGTGTGTGTGGTGTGTGTGTGTGTGTGTGGGTGTGTGTGTGTGTGTGTGTGTGTGTGTGTGTGTGTGTGTGTGTGTGTGTGTGTGTGTGTGTGTGTGTGGGGTGTGTGTGTGTGTGTGTGTGTGTGTGTGTGTGTGTGTGTGTGTGGTGTGTGTGTGTGTGTGTGTGGTGTCTCCTGTGGCAATAAGTTTATGATGGTTCCAGTTAGTGAAGGGTTGGCAAGACTGCACCAAAGAAAGAAATACGAGCTCTATACATGTCAGACACATACATACACACCTTATGTATAAATGTTTGATCGAAGTTGTGAATAATTGATGTGTCTTTATTATTTGTCCCTCTGGTGTCCTGCAGTTCTCTTTCTCTCTCTGTCCAGCATCCCTCTCTCCCTCTCTCTCTCTTTCATTAATCCTGTTTTATGTTTGTCTCTCCCTCAGGACACTGCTCCTTTAGTGAAGCCCTCGTGATTGGATGAAGAGAGAACCACTGACTTCCAGTATGGCCGCGCTACATGCTGGAGTTTCCCACCATCCTTAGTTCTCTGGTAAGCAGCAACTGTACAGGCCGTCTTTCAAGTTGCTATGTTTTTAACACAGAAATAGACTCTTATCAAACCTACAAGCTTACATAAAATGACTGGTGTTTCTGTCATAACTGAAAATAAAGCAACTTTCATCATTTACAAGCAGTATTGGCATAAATATGGGATGTTATTCAGACATGGTAACACTATTGTAATTAGATGATTTTCTACTTAAATAAACAACTAAGCTCTGCTATTATGCTAGGCAACGCTAACCCCAGGGACTGTTACATAAAAACACTTCCTGTAAAACTTCCCAGTTAAATCCCTTATGATTTCCCTGTTACTTTGTAGAAACTAAAATGGCGCGTCTGTAGATATAAGGTCGAACACTTGAGCCAAATTAGAGCCTTATTTTGTCTTGGATGAATTGACCAAACAGATAATATCATGTCCAGGAAGGCAACGAGGCTATCTCTCTCACACCTGTTAGGCACTATGCTGTACATATATACAAAGTACAAAGAAATACTTGACTAACAGCTGAGGCTGGACACTTTTTTTTTTCTGTGCACCAGTTTGTTTTGTCAATTTTTTCCAACAAGGAGAGATATGTATAGGCTTCATGCTAGAGAAAAAGGGCTGCACCCATCTCCCGTGTTACGAGCCTTTTTGTGTCGTCGCTCCGATCTTTTTCGGAAAGACGACGGTGACGTCACTGAAGCAAATCAAGGAGAAGCTGTTTTTGGCTCAGTCTGTCTATCCTGAGCATCATGTGTCTATCATATACTATCATAATTACGACGGAAATTCGCTGTATGCATGTTTTCGTATAGATAGTCCTCCTTTGCTCTACGGCTGTCAGGTCGAGAGGTGAGAAGCTCATTCATACAAAATGTCCTCTAGTTGCTGCTTATGGTGAAAAAACGAATATATAGTAGACCAACGTGCTCTAACGTTGTATAATAGACTATCTCCACCCTCCAGCTTTTTATTAAGTTAATATTTTGATGATGCCCTTTAAAACATGCAGTAGAACCCTTAAATGATCTAGACATTACCTGTAACGGTATGTACGAAGTTAAATAATGTGTGCAGAACAATCCTCCGCAGAACAAACAGTCGGAAAGAGTTCATTTCTTCTCTGTATATGATTCTTGAATGCCTCCTTTATCATTTCTATGATTAGTTGTTTGGAGTCATTTCACTGCCTTACAGTGTTATGTTGTCTCCATAGAAACCAGCTGTAGTTGGGTTCTACATGGATGAATGTGGTCTCCAGGGGCAACCCAAGAAGAGCTCAGGATTCTTTGCATTCTTCTTCTTCTGATCATTATTTCACTTTCTTCCCCTCTGTGGTGTTCAGATCTGCAGCTGAGTCTACTGAACCCTGAACCGTGACCAGCGCCGGTCTGTGACTGACCTCCTGACAGGTACAACACACACACACACACACACACACACACACGCACAAACACTTGCACACATGCTGTGTTCATCATTCAGATGGAATGAAAACCTTCATACCATCATTTTTTTCATGCGGAGAGGTTGTCCATCTCTGCTCTACAGTAGTATCTCTTAGGAATGTAAAAGAAAAACCTGGTAGTTTTCTATTTTCTGTTGTCAAGAAATCCCATGAAAAGTCCAAAACTAACCCTGTGTTATTTCTTATTTTAATACACTCTAGCTAACCTTCCGTGTGTGGTTCTCATTAAACAGGGGGGCACTGTAGTCTTTAGCAAACATGACTTAAACCGGAGGACATTTTGTTGCTGGGTACTATTTTCAGCTGTGGATTTGGTGCAAGAGTAACTATTTACATAACTAAGAGGAAAACACTTCTATAAACTACATCAGGCTGTGGCTACACAGGAAGTACTTGTTAATAGTTGTTAGTTATTTTGGCCTTTTCATGGGATTTGTTTCGTATAGGAAAAACTAAATAATATCACCAAATCTTTTTCAGGATTTTTAAATGCATTCATTAGAATGTAGTTGACCTCTGTCTTTTTAAAGCTCTGATATGATTAATTACATTTTGATGATTGCTCATTTATAAATTAAGTTAAAACAACAATATTGGTTTTCTTAGTGATTATTTTCCACCTTAAAAAGCTTGGACAATGTTCTGTGATCCTCCCCATGCAGTGCGCCAAAAATGAATATTTAAACTCTCATGTACAGTAATTACAAATCTGTTATTAATCCCTTTGATGTGATGGCAGTTCTCTCTATTATATTTTAACTTTTTTAATTGAATATGGTCTCTCCTTATTTACAATATTTTTTCTGCCGCAAAAAGTTTTATTAACTGGAACCATATCCTACTTAGCACCGGTCTTTTGAATTACAAAGTAGTAAGTTAGCAAAGAGACACCCTTTGTTGAATGCTAATTCCTAAACTGTATTGTGTTCATCCTAACGCACATGTGCATTCAAATGTATTCACTTCCTGTTCCCCATCTCTTCCTCTTCAGGTGATCTGTCTTGTGCCACGATGATGTCAGTAGATGTGACCAATCGTAACGGCCCTGCTGCCACGCCTCCTTCTTCCCTCAGCCTCCGCTCGTCACACAACCAGCTGCTGAGCAGTGATGTCATCAACCAAGGCTCAGCCACGCCGCCCAAGTGTCGCAAAAAGTACGCTCTTACCAATATACAGACTGCCATGGGCCTCGGAGAAGCGGTGCCATCTTCCTCCTCCCCATCATCCCCATCGCAGTCCTTAACCCCCAACAATCCCAAACTTGCCAAGAATGGAGTGAACCAGCTCCGTAAAGCCGGTCAGGATCACAACAAAAACACAACCGGCCCTGACTCAGATCCAGAGTCTGAAACTACAGAGGATGACCTCAATGTCAACACAGCTGAGGAAGATGACAGCCACGCTCTCACCAACAATGACAGGGAGGAAGAGGTCATCGAGAGAGACGTTGAACTTCACTCGGACGACAGCAGTGACGCAGACCCCGAGCAGAAAACTGAATCAGACACTGACTGTAACACCAACACGAGCGCAGAGCTCAAACTGAACGGCAACTCCACAGATTTGGACTTTGACTTGAACATTGAGACAGAGGAGAGCGACGACATCAGCATTCTGTCTGAAAAGGAAATGATGTCGAAGATGAAGATCGAGGAAGACGGAGATGAGGCGGTAGAGGAGGATCAGGACAACGAGGAGAATAAACCTTTACTGATGATAAAAAGTGAATCCCCTGTGATGAAAAACAACGTCTCTTCAGGCCTGGAGCTCATCTCTGACCTCCACTCCAACCTCAAGCTCCTCAAATCAGGCCAGGACGCTCCGGTGCCCCCCCCTCCCTCCCCACCGAAGCAGGCCAGCCCAGAGGACAAACCCCTGCTTTCTGTGGCCTACTGCTCCTCCTCTTCCAACTCCTCTCCAGAGACGAAGAAGGACAGGAGGACCGGGGCAAAGACAGACTGTGCTTTGAACCGCATCCAGAATCTGAACCCCAGTGACGAAGAGTTGAGTTGGACCACCCTGTCCCAGGAGAGCAACTCCCCAGAAGAGACAGGTACACATATTAATTAAAGGTCCCCTATTATACTGTTTTTCATCAATATATGATAGGTCTCAGATATATACAAAACATGTCTCTGAAGTGTTTGGCTCGAAATACCAAACAGATCATTGTCGCATCCCATAATCCCCTCTGTTTCAGCCCTGTTTCAAAAGTGCTGATTCTCTGTCTGTTACTTTAGATGAAAATAAGGAGCCACTCCCCACGCCCCTCTGAGAGATATTTGGTTAAAAAGAACACAATGGTGCTCTAGGAGGAGATTCAGGTGATAAGGTGGGGGGGTGTTACCTTGGTTGGTGATTGGCTAATGGTTACACAAGCCAGAAACTCGTTATGACATCATAAAGTGGCCAAAATCTGATCAGCTCATTTTCAGACAGGTTTTTATAGAAATGGATCAGGACAACAAGTGAGAGAATCTTTTTTCCTGAAACTTTCAGAATCTCTTTACACAGAGGGGACACATGGTTATGTATAAAAGACATGAAAAAGTGGATTTTGCATAATAGGTGACCTTTAACACAAGAGAGTACACTCCACAGCCACACTTACGGATGCTTGGCATAGTTTTCATGTGAGTGTGTGTCAGCTCCCTTGGTTTTTGGGGTATTTTGTTCACTTGTGTGCAGTGTAGTGGTTCCACCGTCCTCCGCTGATGATATGTTTCCATTTATGGTGACCAAGTATGTGTGTGTGTATGCAGAACTCAGACATAGCTGGAACAGAATAACAAACACTCCTGCCTCCAGTAAATCTCCCAGAATCCCTCTGGGACAGGAAGTGCCCTTGTAACCTCATGGGTGGTTAGCGGGGTAGATCAGCTGCGTCCTGTTTCATGCTGTGTCCTGGGCGTGTGTGTGTGCCAGGGAAGAGTAAATCAAAATCTGTGGATGCCATTATGTCTCTATTTTCTTTGTCTTCTTGTAGAAGTACTTTAGCTCCCTTTTAATCTTACCTTTCATAATTCAATCTTACTTATAATAATTTGTGATATGCAGGAAGCAGTTTAGTCACACACATAGAGAGAGTATTACAGATGAGCCTTTGCACATGTAGCTGTGGGTGTCAGCAGAAAAGCTATAGGTCTGTTGGTGCAAAATGCAAACGGACTGAGTCTTAGTTGTCTAGTTTTCTAAGGGTTAGTTTGAGGTCAGTTTGTATAATATTCAAACCAACTCAAATTGATGGCCATGCAAAGTGTCTGGACAGTCAAAGAAAAAGTCCCTATACCTATTTGTTGTATACATGTAGAATTGGGCTGCAATTAACTTTTCTTTTCATTATGAAGTGATTTAATTAAATCCATCGAATGTAGGAAAATACTGAAAATCTCCCCAAGTGACGTCTTCAAATTGCCTGACAGTCCAAAATCTAAATATATATTCCGTTTCCTTGGAAATAAAATATAGAAAAGCAGCTCATTTTCACAGATGAGAAGCTGGAATGATAACATTTGACATTTTGTAGGAAAACATTTAATCAATCAGCAAATTAGCAATTGATTATTTCTCTAACATAGTGTTTTATTTGATGTTTTATCTTTATGTTAAATTAGGTTATTGTCATTAGGAATCCGTTTTATCATTTTTGAGAACACAAATGCTTTAACTTAATTACATTTGTCCTTATGTTTGACGTTACCGTACACACACAGCAAGGCAGAACTTTGGGATGAGTTATGTACCTCATGTTTACTTCCTCAGTCATCACCGACTTTTGTGGGCCTTTCTTAAACTTGCCTACCTCTGCAGAAGGTCTGTTAAACCTATTGTATTTCTTTGTCAGCATTATGTAAATATCTCGATGTTCAGTTTAATTGGGCACTTAAAACTCTCTGCCTTGTGCTTTCTTGTTAGACATATGAAACACATCCGTCTTCCCCAAAGTAACAGCCCGACCTCTGAGCTGTAAACCATGCAGTGATCCGAGCCGCTGAGCCTCTTCACATCACTTTTCTCTTCCTAAATGCTTCTCTGCTCGCTCTCTGATGACTCACTATCCCTATTGAATGTAAGGCTCCGTCTGAACATCTGTGCATTTCATTTCTCTGCAAGAATGATGACGAGCAGCATGTCCAGAATTGACTTTCCATGTGTTCTTTTGTCCTGATTTCCTCTTGTGCGTTTGCGTCTAAAATTGTATTATAACTTGTTTTTAACGTTAGTGCAGTGTCTAGTTAAGATATATTATCCTCTGAGGAATGGCAGAAAAGGCCCTAAACATGATTCTGGCATCATTCATTTTGAGCTTATCAATATCTAAGACATAGTCGTCCATACTGCTGCAACCTCCTGTCTCTCTCACATTGACAAAGCAGTGTTGTTTTCCCAGGTGTGTGTCAGATTCCTGTGTGGATGTTGCGGGTTACAGGTCCAATACGACACTGCTTTCACACAGAGGAGCTAAAACACACACACACACACACACACGCACACATGCTGAGTGCAGGAAGGATATTTAAAGATGTCTTTCACATTCTCACACAACAACATTCATTTTAACACTTGCAAGAAACACGAGTTGAATGTGGATGTGTGCTGTACTGCAACATGTCAGATTCAGTGTCTGTCATATGTTGAGCTATTTCTCTGCCCCCCCCCCACCCCATCTACTCAAAACACAACTCATCACCCTCAGAATATCAAGGTGCTCTTCTTTGCTGTTTCTTCTTCGTTGCACCTTCACTAGATATGTTGGATCAAAGGTATTCTTGGGGTTGCCAGGACAACCAAGAGAGGCTAAAAATAGGGTGCAAATGAGGGAGAAATAGACACTAAGTGTGCCAGATATTGTGTTATTCCATGTGCCTGTGTGTATGTTTGTGTTGGGACAGGAAAGGGAGGGCAGGCTTATTTGGGTTGTTGTTGTTGATGCTTCAGATAGAGGAAGAACTGACAAAAATCACAGAGTGTCGCTGCGTCTCTCCCACTCTATCTCTCTCACTCCCCCTTTATTCACCCTCTCTTCTCTGCCTCTCTTTTTTACATCCCTGCGTCTCTGCCTCCCTTCTCTTGCAGTGTCCCCCCTCTCTCTCTCTCTCTCTCTTTCCTCAGTCCTCCCTCTCTTTCTCTCCCTGTATCTCTATCTGGGGTTCTCTGTTTGCTTATAGCACTGGGCTTCGCTGTATGAGAGGCAGCTAGCTAACTATGAGGCTGGGGAAAGACTACATGCTGGCCATTGTGATTGTCAATTACGAGGGTAGGTGCATCTGTCGGCTGGAAACTATAGTGTGGAGTTAAATGTGGTGTGTGTGTGTGAGCATATGCACAGGTAGACAGTATGTGCGCATCTCTTTCAACACAGGGGTGAAGTTTGTCTGTAAGGTTATTGTTCTTTACATATCTATCACAGGGGTCTGTAGTCGTAGCATGCTGTTTGTGTTGTTACTGAATGTGTGTATCAAACTGTTGATGCTGGTGTGTGCATGTGCTGTCAGACAGAACATGTGTGTGTGTGTGTTATTGCTCCAGGAGCTCACTGCTCTCCCATCCCCCTCTGCCAGACCCTGCTCTGGCATGGAGCCGCATGCTAACTGAGGCTATCCCTGGCTAACTGCTACGTAGCTTCACTGTGGTCCATGAGCTGCAGAGGTGCACGCCAGCTCCTAGACTTAGTGTCAGCATGCTCAAGCTTTTTCTTTTAATTCCACAATTGCTGTGGTGCTCTCAGAGGATGACACTGCTAACTTTGAGACATGATATACGCCTCGAGCCAGTAGCAGCTCTCTCTCTCTCTTCCTCTCTTCATTTTAAATGTTCTTTATTGGCAGGTAAAATCACTACACAAAAGCGTAGAAAAATACAAACAAACAAGAAGAATAAATACGTCTTATAATAATACAAGTAAACATAGGATACATTATAACCTTGAAGATAGTAAACATATACTTTACAAGTCCCTCGACGCATAGACATGGATACATGTTGATCATTTATTATGCTTGCTTGATTATATTCATGTGACAAATATTATCTCTCTCCCTCTTAACCTCCATCTTCTTCTCTTCTTGAGCACGTTTCATCTTCATCCAGTAGTCCGTTCATTTCATACTGGCATCTTTTTCTCTGAATCACCATCCTCCCCCTCCCTCACAGCAGTCAGACAATCTCAGGTTCTCTCTGTTGTAGTTTTATTTTCTCTGACCTATTTTGTTTTGGTCATTAAAGACTGCAACTCCCAGAAGGCAGTGCCTCAGTCTGACACCACAAGGGATATCTTTCAAGAACAATATGTGCACATATTGCTAGGCTTTTTGGGCAATTTCTTATCCATTTTATAAATCAAACTCTTAATAAGTGTGTGTGTATGTGTGTGAATTCCAAATTCAATCTGGTCCGCCCAGTCGTCATGATGACATACAGCCTGCAGTCGTGGCGACAGGGGCTGTGTTTTATTAGCATGGTCAGCAGTTCGAGGAACTCTTTGTGTACACACACACGGTCACACACATGCACACACACTTATATCACCTTTATGAGTTGCTACACCACCTAATGCAGTTTTTTTTATCATCTTTACTATTCCTGCAACTACATCTACTTCACACACACACACACACACACAAAGATGCCATCCAGTGTGTGTGTGTGTGAGTGTGCGTGTCTGAGACCTTCAGATGAGATGATATGTAGTGTGTACGTGTGCGCCTGTATGTATCGATGTGTGTGTTTTCAAGGTAAATGCTGTATTTCCGCTGAATTCTGTCACTGTCAAATAAATCATGGTAACAGCCATCTGCTCTTTATGCTGCTGTTGCGCTCGGTTGGGGAAGGGAAGTTTGCGTTTTATGTGAATCCATCCTGAGGAGCCAGCGTTTTTAAGTAATCAATCTTTAGTGTTTTTCTGTCTTTTGAATTTTGTAGCTGTGTGCTGTGTTCCTTTAGCGTTAGTAGTTTGTCCAGGAATGTATTCATTCCAATCTAAGATGATTATCCTTCACCTTTATTTAGTCGTACATAGAGATGCAAGGTAGGCTTGATCATTGGAAGCAACATGTATTGCTGCAGACCTGGTACATATTGACTTCCTAAAATAGTTTCCATCTCTCCTGTTTTGATTTGTTTTGATGTCAGTGGTCTTTATGAGAAATGCCCTAATATTTGATTTATATGCTGATACAAAATGAAAGAAGCCTTAATGGAAATGAGAGTGCAGATGTGTTTTCCAATGGGTTCAGAAGTTTCAAAATTGTAATATATAAAGATTTAAATGTTCTGCAAAATGCAATGCAGATTGCAAATGCATCAGACAGCTGTTTAACTTTCCTAATGTCAGAGTATTGCTTGTATTTTTGACTGTGGGTCGTGATTTCTTTTTTTTTAAAGGTATTTGTGTGGGTGTGTGGCACGAATACAACAACAGCGCTTAACAAGTTGGACTTGGTTGCGGTCCAACGAAAGACACGGCTTGTTAAATAAAGAAAACAATAAATATATATAATATGCTGTATGTTTGGGTGTCGTTACAGAGGTGTGTTCATCCATGCATTTGTAATTCAAGTATTGTAAATCCTGTTGACATCAATAAACCTTCCTAATATTTGTGTTTTATCCCCAGATATCTGGAGTGAGCAGTCTTTCCAGACAGACCCCAACCTGCCTCCAGGATGGAAGAAGATCACAGACATGGCCGGTATCTACTACTGGCACATTCCTACAGGCACCACCCAGTGGGAGAGGCCGACCACACACCCCGCACCCCCCGGACAGACGGAGCCCCTGGAACTGGGCGACCACACCGTCTCCACACCACGGAAACACTCCCTGGGCTCACTCAGCCCCTCACCCACTCCTGACCTCGAGGTGAGAGACACAATATTGAACGTACATACTGTCTTTAGTTTTTGCTGTAATTGTCTGTGCTCCATGCTCAAGATGGTTTAAGTGATGGCAAACACTTTGTAAGTCATGTTGGACTGAAAATAAATGAATCTACACTGTAAAGAGAGGATGAGGAACAATGGGGAAAACTATTTCAGATATCAAGTCAGAGATTCATATTAACAAATAATAATTAACACTAGAACCTCCAACGGGTCAATTTTACCCGCAGCTGTTTTTTGATTGTATGTCACTTTTTCTCAATAAAATATGAAAGTCTCCCAGTCCGTGACTTTTCCTGAAAGTGTGTTATGTAGCACCCTCTGTTGTTAAACATTGTCAATATGTCAGATTGAAAAAATCGCCCAAAAAATTGCCATTTATACCTCATAGAAAATGCAGCGTAAACATGACGTGTTGCTATAGCAACGCCTTTTGTCTACTACGGTTCCTTATAGATAGAGAGATAGATTGAGAGAGAGATAGATAGATAGAGAGAGATAGACAGATAGATAATTATAGATATATCGATAGATAGTTATAGATAGAGAGAGAGATAGAGAGATTTGTACCTAAACAAAACACAAGTCTAACACCAAGCGTTTAAATCAGCACTGGTAGCGATATTTTATACTTCATGCTATCTGCACAAACTATATAATATGAAAAGCTGAGAGTCCACAAATTCTATTGGTATAAGTTTCATCCCTGTGCGATCAAAACTCACTGTTCTACATGATAAATAAAAGAACATTGTACCTTGAAAATCAATAGCGTCTAAATTTGACCCGTTGGCGGTTTCAGGTATACAGCGAACTCTGGCGGTTCTAGTGTTAAGTCAAACTCTATATTTGTAGTACAATTGGCAACAAATAAATTAGTTTCTTGTGCCAACTGTTATTATGGTCATGATTAGTATAATTGGAAATGCAACACTTTTAAAATGTAAGTCTTTAGTTAAACCTCTGATAGATCAACACAATTAACCGCTGAAGAAAAAAGTGACTTTAATAACAAGTGTGACTATCGTACATTCAGTTGTGCCTTTTTAAGTACACCTACACGACAATATATATTAACCCAACCCAACCCTACCCAACAGGGTAGACATTTCTCTTCGGGGCACCAACCACAAAAAAACATCTAAATAAAAAACAGATGAGCAGTAACGAAACAAAACACAAGGCCATTACACATTAAAACTAGGACTGTGACTTGGACTTACTTGGGAATACTGTCAGCACTTGGTCACCTAGCTAAACTAATGCTTGATATATGAGTTCTGCAGTAGATCCTGCCTTTCTGAATCCATTGTGTGTCTGCATGTAGTCGAGCCAGGCGGAGATCTTCTTCAGGGGGTCGACTCGCTCCAGCAGCACCACCTCTGACAGCTCCGTGGAGCCTCTCTCCACTCTAGAGCCCACCGTCACCACATGTGGATTTGTCAACAGCTGCTACTTTGTAAGTAACTCACACAAAGTTTTTGTTTTTTTCTGTTTTATTGTACTTTCGGTGGTAATCTTCACATTTTTTACAAATTCAGACAGCCGGTTATAGAGAGTGAGACGGAGAAAGGACCGTCAATACTGCAGTCGAGCGGCAGAACACTGAGACAATCAATCAGTCAATCATGCAGAATGATGGAGCGATACGGAGAGAGGAAAGGAGATTGATAGAGAGGAGCATGGTGTAGATAAAGTATTGATCCAGTGAGAAGGGACTGATGGTGACAGATGGATGTGCTAGAATGACCTGCAGACATCTTGACTAATAGCCAGTGACACAAGAGCCAAAATGGCAGACAGACTAACATGGTAGATGTCCTCTGAATTCTCACTATAAAGATGTTTGTCATTCCTAATGCTTCATGTCTCTGTGCTCTCTGTCTCTCCGTAGCCTCGTTCCTCCTCTCTACAGGGGATGCCTGATCCAGAGCTGCGCTCTCAGCATCTCGAAGATGAAGACAAGGTACGACACTTTAGAAACATTTCCACTTGACCTTCTTTCCCCTTGTGAACTGCCACCACTCTTAAGGTTCCCTTTTAGCTCAATAGCCTTTAGTTATGCTTAAATATCTTTCATACTGTCTGTAAATGTGTATTTGTGTGGCACAGATGGCAAGAAAACCTTTAGCATCTGTATGTGTAAATGACTTTATACGTGTCTACTTGTGTCACATACAGTGCAGTGCAGTCAGAAAGTATTTGGACAGTGACATTTTTTCTTTTGGTTTGGCTCTGTACTTCTGCACACACAGGACACCATCAAAAGACTTGGAACATCAAAACAGTTTGTGAGCCTTCATGGACAAAGAGAGTCTTGTTTTTCAACAAAGCAAACCCAGAGACTAAAGTGCAATATGTCCTCCTACATGTTTATCTTTCAAATGTTAACCTGATATACTATTGTGTTCTAGTTTTGTATTTGTTGGACCATTATTGATATTTATTTGTAATGTTACTTCTCTTTTATTGTCTCTTTATCTTGTTTTAGTGGTGCTCCTATTTTCCTTAACTTTTTGCTGTATGGCACAAACTACATTGGAATTTCGAAAATAATTACAAGATGAATGTTTTATCCATTTATTATCAACATCAAGAAAAGTGTCACTGTCTAAATGACTACTTTTATGTCTGTCTTGTTTATATTCTACTAATCAAGAATCAATAGATTCTCAGAAGTGAGGTGAATGTTCAATAGGAGCAGGAAACATTTGAGAAACATTTTGATTGACAGCTTTTCATTACAGAAATGTTTTGCCAGGTCGCTCCTTATTGCACTTTACTCTGTGTGGAGTAAACTAGTTAGCTAACAGCCTTCTTCTGTCTGTCTTCCCTCCTACCTTTGACCCCCCCAATCTCTGCCCACCACTTTGTGTGTTTGTATTTTAACGCTGTATGTAGAAACCGGTGTGCAGTGAATTTGGCGGAAAGATTGATAGTGAAATGTGGAAGGCAAGTATAATGCACTCGCGTCAATGAGTCGTGTTCTTGCTCTATCCTCACACACTCTTTTGAGTGATATATTTTTGCATTTTGTGCTTGAAATCCACTGCCTGGGCAGAAGCATGTGTGGCTGATGATTCAACATAATATAACTGCACCAACCACAGCACTTTGTCATGCTTGATATGTTAAACTGTACGTGTTACTTGGCTGCAGCAACACACTCAATAGGTTGTTTTTTTCTATACTCATGTGGCTAAAATGTTGTCATCTTTCCTTCCTACTGGCACCGATCTGAATGAGTTAACACACAGTTAACTTTCTCTCCTTTATGCAGCATGCCCCATTACACATAACACACCAACGCCATTTCTCCATCCAGCAAGGCCATCCCGCCCACACGTGGATGCATGCTGGCATACACCGTGTGGGGTCAAGAGATGTACATTTGTCTTCTGCCAGCTTGTGTCTCCATAGCCCCTCTCCCACATGCCCTGAATATTATTGCAGTCAGACATATCAGTGTTGGTTTGGAACAGGAGCCAATCCTGTTTTGGTTTAAGATAGTCAGCAGTGTGGTGGTTAGATTTATGGACATGTGCCACACCACAGTACTGTATGTTGTCAACCCTACAAGGCAAACAGTGAAAATACACATGGGATAATATGAATTTTGATAATAAAAGGTTATTTAAAAACATCTGGATAACTTTCCACTGCATCACCACGCAACTATAAAGAACCTATAAATAAAATGACAGGTCTCCTATCTGCCTGGAGTTGTTATGTCGTGTGGCATCAGACTTTAATAAAGTTTTCTTCATCTTAAAACCTGTGTGCAAAGGACAAACCTGCCGAACCCAGACAGTTTTAGCAGACAGTATTACAGGTCACATGTGTGAAAGGGGCTTAAAGGTGGTTGCCTTTTGGTCGAAGATGTGGGTTCTATTTTGGTGTCATTTTGCACTCTCTGATCATTTCCCCCTGTGTGCATCAGGACCTGCAGGCAGCCACGCTGAACTCTGACCCCAGCCTGAAGGAGTTTGAGGGTGCTACGCTTCGCTACGCATCACTAAAGCTAAGGTGGAATACCTGCACAGACACACACACACACGGACACAAAAACCTCAGTTGCATTTAGTTGTCAAACTGTCTTTTCCTAGTCTTGCTACTCAATTACATCTTTCCTTCTACTGGTTTGGTCTAGTTATTTTGTTCTAATCTTGTTCTAAATCAGTGTTCGAGTAAATGAGGTCAGACAAAGCAGGATGTTAGTTCTTCTACTCAGGAAATGGCTTGATGTTCTCTATTAGTGTAATGACTGCCTGTAACCCCTACAAGCAGAACAGGGACCTTATTAGTTAAACAGCTAATGGTTGCAATGGTAATAATAACAGTGTTTGTTTATATACCTACATTATTTGTTTTTAAACCTTTTTTTCAGGAACCGTCCATCAGAGGAAGAGGAGGAGTCCTGCAGGGTCAACAGGATCAACTCAGAAACAAAGGTACAGAGTATTTTCAGTGCAAAGCGTGCATAACGTATCATCCTAATCTGTGGTTTTACACAGGTTTGAATCATTATTCACATTGTTCTGTAGCTATTTTAATCTATTCGTTAAGAAAACATTTAGATACAGTACATTTTACATTTCTAAATGCATGATAAATTAGTTCGTAGTCTGTTGCATTGTGGTCTTCTTGTGTTGCCTTGTAATGCTAACTGAAAAAAAACAAAATCAAAAATTACATATATTTCTGAGTTTTATCGTCCGACTTTCAACACTTTAGAATATCACCAAATTCCTAGCAAACATCGCTTTCTGCTTTTAAAAAAAAAAAATGTTTAGTCTTCTTATGTCCTAAACATAGACTGTATATATAGTCCTAAGTCTGTTTATTTGCTGGTGCATTTTACATTGGCTTTCTGTGCTCTCATCTGAGTGAAGAGAGCGCCTCCAAGTGGTGAGACGGAGAGAAACAGGTCCATGCTGCACCTTGGTGCATTCATTACAGAGGCCTCTTAAACACTCACAGTTCAAATTCAAATGAGACATTTCAAGTTTTAATCAAGGAGTTATGCTCAATAAAACATCAGTCGGTAGAATGTCATTCCAATTAGGCAGATACCAGGAAATGTCAACACAAGGTATAAATACATTTGAACTAATTAAACAGAAAAACAATTATGCACTATTTATCTGATCTGATACGGTCATTGCATTCTTTCACAAACTGCCGCAGATTGCAGGAAAGCAGAAATACGTTCCGAGGTGTGTGTGGCATTCACATCGATGACTGAACCGATCAAAAGCTTTGCAGATTACAATGTAAAGCCAAAAATCAGCTCCATGACCTTGTGCTGATTTGGCTGTCGATGGTTTTTTCCCTCTGTTTGTTTGTCTGGCAGAAACTCAAAAATCCTTCAACAGTGACATTATGGTGAATACCAGACACAAACACAGTCGGGGCATCTGGACTATAACACACACACACACACACACACGTTCAATTCAAGAGAAAATATCCCACTGCATTATCAACCTTGGAACGGCCTTCGTCAAGGAGTTAACTAAAACCTCACTCGACAACAATTTCTATCTGTCACAGTTTATTTCTTAATGCTCTTAATGTCTTTCATTTTTGTAAAGCACTTTGAATTGCCTTGTTGCCTTGCCTTTCAAAAACTTAATGGACAATTTAACAACCATTTAAAACATAGGAATATAAAGTATTCTAATGTTGTGAAATGTGTTTTTGACCTACCACTGCATATATAGAAACATACCAGCAGTGTGTGTGTCATGTAGCTGCTACCACCTGCTGGTCTGGATCTGTGACAACACTTTCATCAGACTCCTGAAACACAGCGATGCACTGTGGGTATTACTGTGTGTGTGCATTCAGCAGATTAGAGAAGTCATCGGTGTAAACGTCCCCTCACTGAAGACACAATGTGTTAGTATGTTTTGTCCTGCTGTAATGGTACCAAACTGCCAACTTGTTTTATCTGAGCATTTGATCCACACTTGAATCAGTTTTTCCTATAACAAACCATGATGTCAGTGTGATGGGGCCTCACTTTGATTTTCACTCTGACCTCTTTCATCTGTAATCTGTAAGTACTTTCTGAATGGATGGCTGAAATCAAATGAATACTTGATGAGGACAGATGGATGTGTCTCTCTTCAATCAGTCTCATATTGACTACAAACATGTTTTGCTATCCTCATCTGTTTATTTATGTTTTCGCCTTGGTGGAGTCCAAATAGTTCTGCTTTCCTTACAATCCTGCCAGTTCTAACACCCACGGTTTTAATCACCATGTTGTTAAAGTCAGGCAAAAAACTACTTATATAAGCCTCAATAAACCCTAAAACTAAAACCTGCTACTCGGTGTGCAAACAGTTGTAATATGTCTGTAAGTGATGTACTGTATAAATAACAGTATCGTGGCCTGGTGTGTCTTTCAGTGCTTTGCAGTGCGATCTCTGGGATGGGTGGAAATGGCCGAGGAGGACTTGGCACCTGGAAAGAGCAGCGTTGCCGTTAACAACTGCATCAGACAGCTGTCCTACAGCAAGAATGACATCCGAGACACCGTCGGCATCTGGGGAGAGGTGAGGAAAATAGTTTTTTTGTTGTTATTTTTGCAGTTTTATAAATAGTTACTTGTTTTTTTGAGAGGGATAGTACTTGTAGAAAATCAGGTAGATCAATTAAAATGTAAAGGCGGAGCAGAGTTAAGAGCTAAAGAAGTTAGCCAGGCAACAGTCTCCTCAATCTATCTCAAAAGATGGAGGAAGGAGCGGAGAATGAAGAGAGGAAAGTGGAGCGATGTTAGGAAGTCTTCCTCTCTCTCTGCTGTGGTTGTGTTTAATCTGAAGCGACAGAACAGAGAGCGGGAGGGAGCTTCTTCCTCCTTCAATAACCTTTCATCCCCCCCCCTCTTTTTTTAAGGTTTCATTATTTATTTAGGCAGAGACACACACCTCACCTCACACATGCACACACAGGCAAATATACTTTTTAAGATAAGTAAAAGAAAGCACCTGAACTTTGGTGTGTGTGTGGGGTGTGGTGTTGTGTGTGTGTGGTGTGTGTGTGTGTGTGTGTGTGTGTGTGTGTGTGTGTGTGTGTGTGTGTGGTGTGTGTGTGTGTGTGTGTGTGGTTGTGTGTGTTGTGGTGTGTGTGTGTGTGTGTGTGTGTGTGTGTGTGTGTGTGGATGTGTGTGTGTGTGTGGTGTGTGTGTGTGTGTGTGTGTGTGTGTGTGTGTGTGTGTGTGTGTGTGTGTGTGTGGTGTGTGTGGTGTGTGTGTGTGTGTGTGGTGTGTGTGTGTGTGTGTGTGTGTGTGTGTGTGTGTGTGTGTGATGTGTGTGTGTGGTGTGTGTGGTGTGTGTGTGTGTGTGTGTGTGTGTGGTGTGTGTGTGTGTGTGTGTGTGTGTGTGTTTTTTTTCAGGGGAAGGACATGTTCCTGCTGCTGGAGAACAATATGTTGAACCTGGTCGACCCCATGGACCGCAGTGTGCTTCACTCTCAGCCAATCGCGAGTATCCGGGTCTGGGGCGTTGGCCGAGACAATGGCAGGTTAGTTTGCAACACTTATTTGTTTCTACTTTTAAATATTGAGTTATCCTCTTTTACTGTTTCTTTATTATATATATATATCTAAATGAGCTTTAACATGACGTAGTTGTGAATCATTTCAGTGTTATTAACCAAACATGACACCGTGAGGCTTTTGTGGCTCATGTTTACATTTTCAATAACTTTAATTGATAGATTAGTCACTTATTTAAATGAAGCCGATGCTCAGTAAAAGGTCAGGGTAACAACTGAGGGCAGCAGGCGAGTGCTGTGGTGACAGGCAGGGGTTAATGATTGATGATGAATGGAAGCTAATGAAAGATGAATTCATCTGTACAAAGGAGAGGATGAGAGGGAGAATGGCCTTTATCCTGCCTCGCCACGAATCCCCGGCTCGCTGCCGGTACCTTGGCTTTCACCTCAGCGTAGCTCAAAGACAGATTCACAAACACAGTGTGGTGCTGCTCGGCCACCAGCAAAGGGCACTGCTGCTGAACGCACGAGAAGGAAGGGAAATGTAGGTTAACAGGCGCAGCTGGGTGGTGAGAACTGGAGAGGTCGGTAGCTGCTGTATTCATAATTTGAGCCGGCACGTGCCTGCACATATATACACACACACACACACACACACACACACACACAGCAGTGTATGTTACAGTATCTTTATAAAATCACCCAGTCAGATCAAAGGAGCTCGTTTCCCCCCCCCCCCCGAGTTGTTTTCCACCATCTACATATAGCAGGAGAGTTGTAACAGTGGGAATATGTGAGCTGCAGCAGAGGGAGGAGGAGAGATGGGAGGGAGGGGAGTCGAGGGGGTTTTGGCAGTGAAGAGGGAGAGAGGGGGATGAGGCTGCCAGAGGGGGAGGTATGGTTAGTGCTCACTGGGTGTGGAGCGGACAGGTTGAGGAGTGTGTGTGCCTGCAGCATCACCAGGGATAGATGGTGTGAGGGTCTAAAGACGCTCCTGTACGCAGGACCAACATAGAAAAAGAAACGGCTGTGAGTATATTTACATATCTTTATCTTACTTTGGAACCATCACTTCTGCTGTTTTGTTTTATTCATAGTAGAAAAAGAGAAAGATGAGATAATAAATTAGGCCTCAGTTTCGTTTCTTATCCAGTGTGAGGGGTGCATGTCACAGTTTTACTTCACAGGTGGAATGTAAAAATCATATTGTGGTCTATGTGTGGTGGTTTCCCTGGTGGGTAAATGTGAATGGCATCACATGATACAGGACTCCTATTCATCTGAATCTATATATTTTATATATATATACATTTTATTTTCATTTCTACTGAGAGATTAAGGGTTCGAATGCAATACACTCTAAGATATTTCAATGTGTTACATCATTTTCATTCTTTTAAAATAATATTTGCTTCCAAAATTCCTCCACAGTTTAACATTCAGATACTTAAGATGTGTATGTAGTCGTGCAAACAAATAGTAATAGCTGTTTTTGCTGCATATCCGTGCCTATTTTGGGGGGCTCTTTGGTTGAAATATATGAGCAACTAGGGAATTTGGAGCCTGGTTGGAGTAAGGAGTTTCCCTTCATCGCTCTCCCCCTCTGTCACACACACTTCTACCCTTGGGACCCTTGGATTGGTTGTGTCAGGACAGAGCGGTACCCCGGTGCCTCCCCCTCTCCCCATGTGCCATGAAACTCATTATCGCCATAGAGATTACAGATTCCCACAGCAACCTTGACATTTTCAGGGGCGTCTGCATGATGATAAGATTATATTTGAAATGAAACCTCACCCCCTTCTCCCTCTCTCTTTCTCCCACTCTTTCCCTCTGACTTTTATCTTCACTCTTCATCTGGGTCTTTTATCCTTCCCACATCTTTCCGCTTTTACATTTATCATGTACAATGTTGCAGTTCAATACCAATTTCCTCTCCCAGTATTTCACTTTTCTCCTCTTATATGACTTACTCTAACTCACTTCTCTCTCAGTAACCACTTTTATGTGGCTTTGAGAAACTGCCAGTCTATTTCCTTTTATTTCTTTAAGGAAACACAAACCATTGGCAGCCAATTAAAGCTAACTGCGCCCATCCACAACATCTCTCTGTCCTGCTGTTCTTCCATAATCTCTAATACCTTATTCAAATGCTGTCAGTAGCTTGAGATATTGTAAATATAATAAGTATGCATAACAAACTGCGTTGCTGCCTCCCTTCAACCCACTTGCATTGTATATTTTCTGCACTGCTTTGAAGTTTTTAAATAAGTAATAAAAGGCACAGACAGAATATGTAAGTCATTGTGTTGGTGTGTGTATGAGGGGCTAAAAGTGTCTTATCCCTACTAACTTGCTTCCTTTCCTCCCTTGCTTCCTTGGACACAGAGAGAGGTAAACACATTCCTTTCTTTCAGTATCTCTCCATCATCTCTGTCATTCCTTATTGTTTAATTTCCTCTGCGTCTCATTTTTCTCCACTTCAAAGTGGATCATGATGTACTGAAGCATTGTCTACGCACATTCACAGATGTAGGGAGAGTACGATGACCTCCTCTGTCCTTGTCTGTCTACAGGCATTTTTTTGAAATATGCACACACACACACACACACACACACACATACACACACACACAAATGGGAATCTTTTCAGGAGACTTTCCCCTGAGGAGCTGGACTCAGAAATCTTGTTAACCCCCAGGCCTGTGTTTCTTATTGCGTGGCATATTGAAGCACACAGCTTGAAGGAAGTTATTTCGATTTGTGTGCATTTCCTGCTGACATAAATCAACGTTTGTGTGTATGCGTGTACGAGTGTGAGTCTGAGTGTGCGTGCTTTACAGGTTTAATTTGTTGCAGCTACATCTTCATTCCACTGTCCCTCCGGCTCCCTTTCCTCTTTGTTTTCATTCCCTCTCTTCAGCGGGCTTAAATAGTTTTCGGCTCCACTGGGCCCAGGGGAAAGTTCTTACCTGCTGTCACTCAGTCAACTCTCTCTTGCATCACGCTGCTTTATTGATCTCTAGGGTCCATCGACCTGCATGTGTGTGTGTGTGTGTCCTGTATTCATCAGACTGATAAAGGTCAGTTCATCGCTCATCTGTCTCCAAATGCTGTCAGTCTTGAAACTGGACACACAAACCCAATGACACGCATACAATTCTCTTGTCTCTGAGTAGAACTGAAACTAGTCCAACCATCTCTTGTGTCATCTTCATCCCCCTGGTGTTTTTTCCTCTCCCTGTTGTTCCTTTTTGACACTCTGTTTTTCTCTTTCCCAGGGACTTTGCATATGTGGCGCGGGATAAAAACACCAGGGTCCTGAAATGTCATGTGTTCCGCTGTGACACGCCAGCCAAAGCCATCGCCACCAGCCTGCATGAGATCTGCTCCCGGGTGAGTGCTTCAGACCAGGTTTGGATTTGGCAAATAGATTCAGATTGAAATACATTTTCCACTGATCAGGGAGGTCGACGATCAAACAAAAAACAGCCATTACATTTCATAACATTTACTCAATCACAAGTAGATGTTGTACCTAAGACAGAAAATATTCAAATTGTCCAGCCTCAAGATGATTTGTTTTATCACGTGTTATTTTTTTAATGTTTTTTTGTGTACTATTCCACAACCGAAGCAAACATTATAATATTTGCAGAGAGTATCTGCAGTCCTCAAAAGTCTAAAAACTCTACATTTCACTCAAACAAATTTTATTTCGCCTAAATCACAGTTATCAGAGCGCTCTCTCTCTGCACTGCAAATGTATTCGTGGATGAATACAGGAGAATGCAGACGGGTCTCAAAGAACCGTATTCAAACCATGTTTCTTATTGTGTCTGCTTCATTCACCGAACTCGCTCGGAATTAATGGACTTTCCTTTTGTTCCCAGTAAAACACATTTATAGCTTTGGAAGTCCAATTCCGTGTCGGAGAAGATCTTTAAATCCCCTCTTTATTTATGTATACTCATAATTTGGTGTCGAAATCAATTCCGTGTAGCATTAAAAATAGTTTTTAATAACTTCAGCTTCCCACAGACACTTTGTTATGACCATTGACTTGAACAGTGTGTCCCTGAAGTGTCTTTAGTTAGAGGAAAAAGGTGGAGTTAGACGCATTTGTCGTCCTTCTCATCGTTCATGCTAACACCGAATTTCTCACATTTTACTTTCAACACAGTATGTGCTAGAACGTGTGGAAATTTCACACTAAAAGGATGAACAAAGAAAGTGGCGAATTGTTCACAGCAGGGTTTGTTGAGCTGTTGATTCGCTGTGATAAACTCTCTGATTAACGACATGTTTTATCTATGTGTGGTATTTCCAGCAGTATGTGTGATTGATTTTGTCTGAGTTTATAAGATGTGTGTGTGTGTGTGTGTGTGTGTGTGTGTGTGTGTGTGTGTGTGTGTGTGTGTGTGTGTGTGTGTGTGTGTGTGTGTGTGTGTGTGTGTGTGTGTGTGTGTGTGTGTGTGTGTGTGTGTGTGTGTGTGTGTGTGTGTGTGTGTGTGTGTGTGTGTGTGTGTGTGTGTGTGTGTGTGTGTGTGTGTGTGTGTGTGTGTGTGTGTGTGTGTGTGTGTGTGTGTGTGTGTGTGTGTGTGTGTGTGTGTGTGTGTGTGTGTGTGTGTGTGTGTGTGTGTGTGTGTGTGTGTGTGTGTGTGTGTGTGTGTGTGTGTGTGTGTGTGTGTGTGTGTGTGTGTGTGTGTGTGTGTGTGTGTGTGTGTGTGTGTGTGTGTGTGTGTGTGTGGTGTGTGTGTGTGGGTGTGTGTGTGTGTGTGTCGGGGGGGAAATTACTTGAGGTTTTCTTGAGCTCTTTCGACTTTCATCTTTTTTTTCCCTCATCCTATTTTACTATCACACATTTTTCTTTTTTGTCTCCTCCCCTGTGTCTCTGCCAAGGAATACCAAGCCGCTCGTTTTTTTCCACGCCATTTCCTGATATTTCTGTGTCTGCTTATTGCCCCTCTCTCTCTCTCCGTCTCTCTCCCTCCTCCAGATAATGACAGAGCGAAAGAATGCCAAAGCGATGGCAGGCTCTCTCCACGACAGGATGCAGGCAGGACTAGATCTCCCGCTACAAGGTAGGTGTCAAACTGTACCTCTGTCAGCCTGTGTGTGTGAGATGTGACACGTGACGTACATCAATAGACGCAGAGAAGACATCACCTCTTTGGCACACTGCATGCATTTAAAACTGGTCATTAGTCTGAGCTGAAAGGGTTGTCATCCCAATGTCCTCTGTTAATGCTTCAAAGTCAAGACAGGTTCCGAACATCTGCATTTAGAGGTTTGATTCATAAATAATTAATTTTTGAGTCTTCAGTGTAACAAAAGAGCCACAACCATCACTGAGTTTGGGCTTTAAAGGCACCCTGTGGAGTTTTCTTGTGAACAGAGAAAGGTTAACGTCTGCTGTTACCGACCAGAACACACTGTGTTTTTGAAGCCTGATCATTCTGTTGAATGCATATCCTTCCCCTGTCTTTCTATTAAATCCTCTAATTCTAATCATCCATATTCAGTCGCTTCTTGTTTCTTGGCTTCGGCTCTTTGCATCTTATATTAGCTGGCAATCAGTAGAATAACGTGAAATGAAGCAGGCACCCTCTCTTAAAATCATTTCTTGGTAGCTCTACTTATGGTCAAACCATCCACAGGGAAACTTCTGAGAGTTTCTGCAGTTTACCGATGTTGGGCTTGATGGTCCAGTGCCCCAGCATACTGTGCAAGGATTCATTATGTCACATTTTGAAGAGTCGGACAGATGGGACAAGTAGCAAGCCAACAGATGCTGGGGGCAGAAAGTAAAACTTTGGTGGCAGGAAATAATGTTGAAGAGATAGGTATGCTTAAACATATACTGTATATTTATATAACATAATATACAGTAGAAAGTAGACTCGTTTTTTGGTATCCGGGCCCTTTTTCTATTTCGTTTTCCCCTGCAGATAGAAACCCCTCAGTGTAGACAGATACTCAGCTGCAGGGACCCTACATGAAACTGGCATTACATCATCTTATGCGTGACGCTCACTAAATCCTTTGCTACCAAACAGATGAATATCTGCACTTCATATTTGTACTGCGTGGTCTTGCAGGCTGCCTTAAAAAAACATTTAGGAAAAAAATAGCTATCACTATTGTCAGCTTAAATATCATGCTGGTTGAGCTGCTGACAATTCTCTCTGACCAATCAGTGGTCAGTATTTTAACTCCACTACTGTTATCGAATCAGTCGCTTGTGGTACCAAACAAATTAACAAGGTGCTATCCACAACTGTAAATGTATATAAAAAAAGAGCCAGTTAAGTAGAGCGCTGCGCAATAATGCAGTGCAAATGCGGCATTAGACTGGTTTTCTAATTTGGTAATAAACATTATGACAACAAGCTTCTTGCTGTCATCACTCACTGTTTTCTCTCCCGTCGGCTATCTGTCACTCTGTCAGAGAGAAAAGGGATTGTCTGTGCTGCACTTTATCATTTATATTTACTGGTGCTTGGCGAAGACGCAGCATCAGTCCAGCAGACCGAACAACGGTCCAGCCCGCTGCCGACAGCTCCTCAAATCAAACGCTGCAGTGCCGGCCTTAAAATCCCTTCAAAAACTGCAACTAATCCAGAACGCTGCTGCCAGAGTCCTGACCAAAACAAAAAGAGTAGAACACGTCACCCCAGTTCTTAGCTCTCTGGACTGGCTACCTGTAGCTTACAGAATCGATTTTTACAATTGTATTGATAACTTATAAAGCAATAAATGGTTTGGGACCCCAATATATGTCGGACATGCTGCTCTGTTACAGTCCAGGCTAAAAACCTTATTTTTTCAGCTGCTTACCCAGAAGTATTATACCTTGTATTAGCACCTACTGTATTTACAATGTTGTTTTGAAACTATTCTGTATCTCTTTTATGCATGTTTTTTATGAATCTGTTATTCCATTGTGTTTATTTATTGTGTTCCTTTCTTCTGTCTTCTTATTATGTGTTAATGTTGATGTAAAGCACTTTGAATTGTGCTATATAAATAAACGTACCTTACGTTTAACGTGCCATACGTTTAACGTGCCATGAGGATGGTAGTATCCAGGTATTTTCTATGAAGGCCACATGTAGGAACCTTCTGTAAATGTGCATTGTTGTTTACGTGAAGTTACATATTTGTTCTTGGAAACACTTATGTGTGTGTGTGGCTTCTCCCCAGCAGAGTTCCCCACCCCAAAGACGGAGCTGGTTCAGAAGTTCCAGGTGCTCTACCTGGGGATGGTGCCTGTGACCCGGCCAATAGGTGAGTCTGATCCGCAGTACTCCTGCAGACTGGAAGGAGAGGCTAAGCACATGGTTGGTGGTAACGTTGATGTTAATGGTCCAGCTTAAGGAAGGGTTTTAATGGTTGTTGTTTGTTTGTTTCTAACATGCTCTGCTGCAGGCATGGACATACTGAACGGAGCTATAGACAGCCTGATGGGATCTTCAAACCGAGAGGACTGGACCCCGGTGGACCTCAATGTAGCAGATGCTACTGTCACCATCAGCAAAGAGAAGGTGAGACACATCTGCTGTAGCCAAACTACTTTAAATACAATGTGCCAAATAGATTTGACAAAAGAAGGGCCTCAAATACAGACTGTGATTTAACGACTTTTATGTTTCATTCCAACAAGCAATTTGTTGTATTATAGCAGTATGTTGAAAGCAGCACACAGGCAGAACTGAGTACATTATAGATATGTTTTTAATGTCTATGATATCCATTAATCCAACACATGTGTTCGACCAGGACGAAGGAGAAGTGCTGGTGGAGTGTCGTGTTCGTTTCCTCTCTTTCATGGGCGTGGGGCGAAACGTGCACACGTTTGCCTTCATCATGGACGCTGGCAGCCATCGTTTCGACTGTCACATCTTCTGGTGTGAACCCAACGCTGGACACGTGTCAGAGGCCGTACAGGCCGCTTGTATGGTGAGTCACTGAGCGAGAAAACACAGAGCTGACAAAACGTCTTTTACACATTAAGCTAACTCTCGTTTTAGTTGAGGAGTAAATGTGTTTTTAATTGTGCAAAGTTAGATTGTAGGAAATGTAGATTGTGCATATTTTTAACATTACTATGAATGTCTGTCACTTTGGCCTTACCTTATACTACATGCATAACATCGTATTAACAACAGCACACCTTATAAGAAGGTTTTCACTGTAGCTCAGTTTAAGCTGTGTTTCTACAGATGTCTTTTTTACTGTCCAATCTATATGGTCCATTCAGGTTGTAATGTGTTATAAAAATGCATTTAAATCAAAAGAAGCCATCTTGAGGTAAATAAGTGTGTGTTCAGCATTAGTTGTATCTGAAGGAGAATGTCCTTGCAAGTACAGGTTTTCAGTTTTTCCAAGTTGTTTTAAAAAATATTACACATTGTTTCCTGCTTTACAAGAAAACATTTAAAAAATGAATTAGTACATTGAATACATTACCAGTGTAATATACTCATAATACCTCTAAAAATGTTTTTATTTTATCATTATAATGTCAGTGATTGAAACCCAGAATGCCCTGGGTGGTGTTTCTGCTCAAGTGCAGCCCATTAGTGGAGATAACTCCTCTCCCTGCCTCTCTGCTGCGGCTGAGTCACAAGATTAGTCGACTGCTGGCCGGGCTATTGATCACACATCAACTCTGGAAATATGGACGCACACACACACACGCACACGCACACGCACACGCACACTCACACGCACACGCACACACTAAAACTGATTCACGTTGACAAGACTCATCAGTCATTACTATTGATCACAGCTAGCGGCCGGCGGTCCCTGCTCTCTCACCTTCACAGCCGTATACTCAGCAGCTGTAACTCTCTCTTATTTACAACGTCTCTCTCTCTCTCTCTCTCTCTCCTCTCTCTCTCCCTCAGCTGCGGTATCAGAAGTGTTTGGTGGCCCGCCCCCCCTCCCAGAGGGCATGCAGCTCGTCGCCCCCCGGAGACTCGGTGTCCCGCCGGGTCTCGACTAGCGTGAAGAGAGGCATGCTGTCTCTCATCGACACCCTCAAACAAAAGAGACCCGTCACAGAGTTGCCGCAGTAACCAACTGTTAAGCGCTACCGACTCCCTACCACAACCCCAAGTCACCATGGTAACTAGTCGCATTGCTGCCAAATACTTGTCGCCACCACAGACCCCTGTAACCATGGAAACCCAGTAAACCCAAGGGTTTGGGGAAGCCCTGTCACAATTCCTTCACTTCTTCTGAAACAGGAATTTCACCTCAAGAGTTTTTCAAGCTCTTGTGAAGAAATTCAAATCTGTTTGCTCATAAAAAAGGAGATGAACAAAGACTTATCGAGAAGAAACAAACCACAGAGAAACACCCGAGTGGAGATCTTTGGTGGTGATTGTGTACATAGGAGTAACTCTCATCCCCCCCCACAGAGGAGCGAGGAGAAACAAAAACTGAAGAAGTAGGAAGAGCTCCTTCCAGCGCGTGTGATGCTGCAAACTGCTGACCTCTCCATGCTCAACTGTATCCGTGTCTGTGCAGCCAGCATGACCCCCCTCCCATCATGCACCTGGTTGTCCTGTTAGTCTGTAGTGGCGTGTCCCCCTCTGTCCCTCTTCCTCATTGTCCTCAGTAGACTGAAATGGAAAGAGAATCCTGAAAGCCATCGCGTCTGTAGTCAAATGAAAGAAGCAAGTACAGACTAAAGAGAAATGTCAGTCTACACACTCATACCTGTTCAACTAACCTGCATGAACTTTGAATAGAAACAATATCAATACACTGCTGCTGCTTACAGAAGGGGTGATCGAATCCGAAGCCACTTCCTGTCTTCTTCCTTTGTTCCTCATAGACAAGATGTGCAAGAATCGGCCTGGAGGGTCTAAAACGAGCGGTGGCCTTTCACCCGAAACATCCTTCCTGTTTACCTGTTTTTATTATTTCGTTATCCCTTGGAAAACAACAGACGACAGCCATAATGAAGGAAGAGACAGGGACACGCTAAGTGTTACTCTCTGCTGCTCCAAACACAGGAAGTATCGGCATGCTGCTGCTGCTCATAGGAACACATGCTGGAGGAAATTTGACAGAATATTTCTCTAAATCCCACCTCAGTTCCAGTCCTCAGAGACTTCCTGTCCACTAATAAAAAAAGAAAAAAAAAAGGGTGTTGGCAACACAAGAAAGGCTTAATCCTAAAAAGATGATGACTGGTGGAATGTGTTTTCTACCTGGGTCTGGTGCCAGCTGAGAGGCGGGTTTCATCTCCAGCTGTTTTTGGAGAGGAAAGTCAACCGAGAGACATGTGGACTCGGACTAACAGGATCTCCTGGCCTGCCATCTGTCTGTCTCCAGGGTTACGCTCACTTGAATGCGCCTGCTCTGTTTTCTCAAGATCACTTGCTTTTGGTTTGTATTCTGACATTTTCCCACACAAATCTCAATTCAACACTGCTAGCTCCTTATTAGCACGTATCTGATTAGCTTGGATGTAAGGTAATAAGTCTGGACGTTTATTGCAAATAAAAAACACATTAAGCTGTAGATTAGAGTATTAAAGCAGTGAGTGCCATCCTTTTTCCAATTGATTCCTATGATGAGGGAAATTGTACAAAAACACCACTCGTTAAAAATCTCTGAAAATGTGTTGTCAAGATAATGCTGTCATAGAAACAACACCTATACACAGTGGTTGTCATTGTTTCCCAGTGCCCCACTGATGGTTTTTGTAAGAGAAAGAAACTGTGGACACATCTTATTACTGAACTTCTATAATTGACCATCTGCCAAACCCCTCCTTTTTTTGTAAACAGCATCATGTGAGGAAGTGAATCTTGACAGGTGGCAACAGTATCTAAAGGGGACATCTGTAAAGTGTCTTGTCGTCTCCTTTTCTTGCACCAGGTTTTAAAACTCCACGGTTAACCTACATGTGTTGAAGGAAGCAGGAGTGTACTTGAGATTGTGAGGAGAAAACACAGCCACTTCAACTTTATTTTGTCACAAGGATGTTGAAATGTGAATGAGATGACAAAATGAGCGTGTACATAATATCAGTAACATTCGGCATTAATCATTGTGATAAGCTATCTTTTTTTTCTTTTAAATATCTGTAGTTTTCTATTTTCTTTTAATGAAATGCCTTTTTTTGAGAGCTCACCAAATGGCCAAAGTGTAAAATACTGATATACATTGTTGTAGATAAGAAAATTACGAGAGCTAATAATGAAACGAGGAGAGGCCATTGGACATTTTCACAGTTGTCAATTACGTTGATACTGAATTTAACTGAGCAATTATCTATGCATTCTTTTGATCTTCTCGAGAAATGGAAAGTTGTGAAAAGCCTTGCATGCCCTTCGACGGTTGAAAGAACGACTGTATGTACTGAACAGAAATATTTTTTATTTTATTTATTCTATTTTATAAAGGTATATACTGATTTTATTAGTTGGGGCGAGTAAAGTCTCTTGACTCGGTGTCATTGTCTCAGTCCCTGGTTAAATCACAATGCAACAAACAAGCTTCGCAGAAAAATAAATATATCTTCACCTTGTATAGCGCACTGAGAGCTGGGAGTGATGGTGATGATGGTAGTAATGATGGTAGTAACGTGTGCACTCCCAGTGTCTCCGTCAGGCTCACACACACATGAACAACACACACACACCTTTCCCTCAGATGGATGTGTTGCTTCCTTTGCTGCTCACTGATTTGTACACTTTATCGATGTAATCAATTGTGAGAATAAACAGCATTATAAAACAGAACTAGTGGCTTCCTTTTTGATTATTATTTGGACAAATCCATTTTCTTCTCGTACTTCCCACCCCTTATACATTTTATAAAGTCACTAGATGTTAGAAAATATAAATGGGGTTAAATTGACATTGATACAAAAAAAGAGAAAAGCTGAACATTGGTATTTTAATGATGTCATTTTAACTACTATACCTTTATAATTATACAATTCAATGTTTTTTTGTCATATCTTGAATGATCACTTCAGCAGCAGTATGTACATTTCTGTAGTTTTAAGAAATACCAATAGAGATGTCAATATGAGTAAAACTTCTTTAAAACATATTTTTCATACATTTTTATTTTTCATAGTTAACTAACAATACAATAATATTTTTCTTGGTTTTAAATCATTTATATAATTAACTTGGGAGTCCATTATGATTGACTGTAGTGTCAGAACATGCCATTATTATTATTAACCACACCATCAGTGTTCATGATCTCTTCTATAATCCAGGCAGATAGATGGAGGAAGAGGATGCACATATTTGGGCGCGCTGAGAGTGGGGGGTCCTGGTGGGACGCTGACTGAGGGAACTACCACTCCTGCTAACAGAGCTGCAGGAAGGAGAGGAAATGGGTGGCAGGACAAAATCTGCATGCGCCAACACTTCCTCTGTCGCCTCCTCTTCCTTAGGTCTGACCTTTCCTTCCACCTTTCCTCTGACCTTAAACGGGCTTTCTGCTCTCACTGTATGCTTCAGTGTTTTCTCTGCTCCTTCAGGCTCAGGGTTGAGTCTCTGCACCTGCTTGGAGGCTGCAGGTGGAGCAGAAGGGGGGGGGCTGAAGACATTCTGCTGTGATTGGATCGTTGCATTGTTACTCAGCTTGTGTGCGAGGGCTGTGATTGGAGACAAGTGTCTGGAGGGTTTAGCAGAGGATATTAACGTCAGGGTGAGACGAGGTATTCTTCTCCGTTTAGTCTTCGTAGGGCGCCTCTTGTGATGTGATTGGCTGACTTTGACCTTATCTGATTTCTTCTTGTTGCTGTTAGGCTGGTGCTTTGGGGCCGTAGTCCTGTTGGTTTGTTTTGTTCGCCCTTTGACCTTACGCTTACTGCCTTTAAGCCCTTTCTTCCTCTTTCCTCCCTCCTCTTCTTCTTTTTCCTCCTCTACATCCTCACCTTTCTTCTCTTCATGTTGTGAAGGTGCGACAGGCTTTTCTCCCTCCCCCAGCTGACCCTCCCGGCCCGAGGGGGAGGAAGGTTTGCTGCTGGCTGACGCGGCTCGATTCTTCTTGCTTTTCCCCTTTTTATGAGTCTTTGATAGTTCAGGAATGATTCCACCCAGGAGGCCTTTAGCCGCTGCCCTTGCCAGCACGTCGTGGACTGTTTCTACCTTAGTGGGATCCGCCTGAAAAAACAAGGGCAGCTTAAGATTTGGTGTGAAGACACAACACATTAAAACAACAGGTCTCTAGGGTGGCACCAAGGAGATCTATACCACAAAACACGACGCTGTAGAAATGACTAATGAGCCACGGCCGTAAAATGTTAATCTGCAGAGGAGGAGGAGGAGGAGAGATAGCAGGATTTATATCCTGAGAGCAGCCACTTATCCTTTCTCCCCCTCTTCCTGTGACTTTGAGCCAAATGCTAACAGCATTGTCAGCAAGCTAACATGCTGATGTTCAGAGGGTATATTTCTTAACATTTTCTGCATTTGACTTAAGCATGCTAACAGTTGCTAATGAGCACTAAGTATAAAAGTAAAGCTAAGGCTGATGGGAATGTCATTTACTTACATTTAACATATTTAGTCATAAAGTATTGGAGAAATTAATCTTTTGATCTGACGATGGTGCTACACAGTCAGGGGATCCCCCACATCAGTAGTCCTTATTCTTATGGGGTCAAATAAATCCATTAAATAGATGTTAACACATTTAAGTCATTCCCATTGGATGGATCCACTGACATTTTCACATCTCTAGTCATGCGGCTAATGTGGTTTGAACACATACTGTTTACTGTGGTGGCTGATTTTTCTGCGGTCATGTTGTATAATCTTATGTTTCAATCTAGACCAGATTCCTTAAAAAAACAACAATGCCATTTTCCGTTTGATTTTGGATTACATCAGAAATGCAGAAATTCTCGCAATGTTAACGAAAAGAGAAACTATGTGTATTCGCCCCCTGATGAATGAGTTCTTGCTTGGTCCATGCCACAGCGGTCCACCAAGTTTCATGAAAATCAAATCAATAGTTATTCTGTAATCCTGCTAACAGACACACAAACTGAAGCTGGACACAACTTGCTGGGCAGCTTTAACCAGCAGGTCCTTTAACAACAAAATGCACACATTCTTCTCAATGTTTCGATACTTTAAATGTGCACTGGTAAAATACTGTCTTCTGGGCTTGGTCCTGAAGACTCAAGTTCGAATCCGGCCCCAGGTCCGTGTGCCGCGTGTCAACCCCCTCTGTCTCCCCCTTTCATAGCTGTCACTCCAATAAAGGCACTGGTTGCCCAACAGAAATCTTATAAAAAACAAAACACTGTCTTCATCTGTAGTAACATTCAGAGTATAAATCTGTCTTAATCTCTTCCCCGTCCATCCATCTCTGCCTGTCTGAAAAATAATGCAAATGAATGTGAAGTATATTGTATTCCCCTCTAAAGTGTTAAATCTGATTTACCAATTTTATTCTCTTTTTTTGCTTTGACAGCATTTTATGCTCATCATTTATAAGCCTCAAAACTTTAATTATGCTGCAAAATGAGAGTTTGTAATAAAACTGAAATGCCTAACGTTTAAACGAGAGAAGCATGAATAATAGCAGCCTGTCAGATGTGTGTTTTGCAGCAAATTTGGACACAAGTATGATTTTAAGGAGAGTTCTCTCTATCTGTCTCTATGACGACATGTTGTGTATTTCAGATCTAAATCACAGCACAGTTTGACAGGAGCCATTCATTTATCTGAGCAGCAGAGAAACACCTCTGAATTGTCAGTGCAACTAAATCTGCCGACGCAGCTGGGCTGTCGATTTAATTAGACAAGATGATCATTAGATTTAAAATTCCTGACTTTTCACTGGGCAGGTGCACAAGACCTGACCATGTGTGCGTTTTATTGGGAAAATAAAACACGCACACATACTTGCACGGTCCCCTCCCTGCACCACTTTTTCAAGCTGCAGGGGATCAAGGGAGCAGCATCTCATTTCCTTGTGTATGTACTTTTTATGAGTGGAGCAAGGGGGAGGAAAGAGGGGAGGGGGGCAAATAGACGGAGCAACGAGGTGATGCAACAGGATCAGAGCGCTGGAAAAAAAAGATACAGAGAATTATCCATTCATCTTCGCCGTAAAGTACTGAAATGATTCAGCCACTGGGCCGTATTTCGTCTCTAACTTGTCTCTTTTTTATGGAGTATTGGAATTAATGCTGCAGTGTTTCAGGGAGAGACAGTGTGTGTGTGTGTGTGTGTATGTGTGTGTGTGTCTGTCTTTGTGTGCACTCAGAAAGCAGAGCCGACAGACCTCCCTCCCAGCAGACAGACAGTAAAAGAATGCAGCCTCAGCACTTCTAGGTCTCGTCGCAACACACACACACACACACACACACACACACACACTCACACACACACACACACACACACACACACACACACACACACACACACCCCCCCCCCCCCCCCCCCCCCCCCCTCAACCTGCCAACATAACCTTGCCCTCTACTTCTCTCACTCTTTTCCCATCAGTCTCCACATTTCCCCCTCTCTCTCTCTCACCTGTCGGGACAGTCGTGCGATGAAGCAGCCGTTGGTGAATTGTGACGTTTCGAGCCTGAAGAACTTTGATTCCGTTGTGTCTCCTGACTGAGAGTCATCGCTGAAAATCGGACCGTTTACCCTGAGAGACAGAAAATAGAGGATGAAAGAGACTAAAAGATGCTATGCGATATAACATATATTCTGAGAAGTTTAACGGTAAGAATGGGAGTGTTGAACACTTTATTCAGTAGTGTGAGGACATTATACCAACAAAACCAAATACAGGACATGTATTATTAAAACTGAGGTACAGTATGTGGCAACTTCAATATGTTGTGTTTTCAGGCATATGGTGACATTTTCCAGTCAAGAAAACTACACGCTGATAGTCAGTCGTTAATACAGTTGTATCAATGATCATTAATAAGAGTATTTGAAGATTAGTTTAACAGCAGTGTAACAGTATATATATATGCAGAGTTGTATATTGTGGATGTTAGTGCTGCTCGCAAGCCTCAGGACCAGCCTGCTGATAGGCTGCTGCACTGCCAGCTGTCACTGCTGGTGACTGTGTGTTGTACATCTGCTGTAAGTGCCCTCCACATTTGATATGTTGGCAATTCTCAGCGGTCTCAATTCTGTTTAAATATGGAAATGATGTGTTGGTGTGACCTTTATTCATTTTTTAATTCTCAATGAAAAGCTGTTTTAGGAAGCAGGGAAAACTGCACACATTTGCACCCACTGCAATTCTCCTACAGCTGGGTGGAAACCAAAACAAACATTTCAAAATCGAGGCACAGAGCATAATTCTTAGGTACAGCAAAGCTTATATAGATCACACCGTCTGAAAGGCAGCATTTTACAAGTACACAACTCAATTCCTCTTACACCTACAAAACCTAAAAGTCAGTAGTACCTTTATGTATATGATAATTCATGTTTTTGGAGCTATAACCACCATCCCTCAAACATATAACTTGAAGAAGCCAAAGAAACGAGAAAAACAAGAGGGAATGACACATGTAATTATGAATAAAAACACCTTGTCCTGTTCCATTTAAGGAAGAAGAAATCACTTTTCTTTGCTTGTCTGACGCAAAACAACATTTTCATATTAATAGAAGTAGTTTGGTGGCATTTAGATACAGTTATTTTCTGGCGTTCACTAGTATAAACTATTCACTACAGTACATTTGTAACAGGCAACGCTAACCAAAGAGGTGAAACAGCTGCTGGTCGTCTCC